AAAATACTAATTTATAAAATCAGGGCAACGAAAATTCAAGTTGAAACAATTTTAAAGAAAAGACACTAATATAAATATAATAATAATTGTAATTATAATACATTTAGAAATCAATGAATTAGCAACGCAAATAAGAATACATCAACATGAATAATTAAAGATAAATAATCTCAAATATTAGAGGAACAATTTATTTTTATTTTTTTATTTTGTAAATTGCTTTAATTTTGGTTGGTACTGTTGAAATTTATGTTTTTTAAGTGAAACAAAAATTTGTCGCAAAGAACCAGGGCAGTAACCATCCGAGAGTCTACTATGATTGACAGTTCTCGACCACAGCACACATTAGTGACTGCGGCCAATCAACATGACCCACCAGACTGAAATGGGAATGTTTATAGGCAACATTTGTTTTTGGAAAACCATATTTCTTCCATTTAATGTAATTAAAAATTAAAATACAGTTATAGATATATTTAGACATTTTATATCAACGCATTTTTAGACATTTTAAAAATATATTTTTTAAGTATTTTGTATGATGATTTTAATGTTTTGGATAATTTTCAATGTTTGCATATTTTTACGATGTGTGTTACATGCGATAATGTTTTATAATAATATTGGGTATAACTTAAACACATCAATTGAAGTAATCTATTTAATGAGTAGGTACACTCGTTATAGGTTTCGTATATATAGCAAAAAAATGTTCATGAATTGTATTTTATATTTTAGTGAGCGCTGTCTACAATATTTTTAATAATCAATATGACTACTAATTGTAAGCTTATTTAAACGAACAAGCGAGGTACGCCCACACCAATGAACAACTTTACTGAGCTCGTATATGTATTTATTTTGTTTGAAAACTAAACATTAAAATTGTGAAATATAAAGACCGAAATATGGTTGATAGTGGCAAGCGGTTGAAATAAAATAATAAAAACTTAGAATTGAATATTATGTATCCTAAAGGGCCAATATTTTTCGAAACAATGAGCACTCATAAAAAAAAATCGCCATTATATACCAATATAATATTACGATGAAAACCCGCGTTGTTCTTATTCTTCTTCTTTGCTCCCCAGTGACCTTCTTGTTAAACGTTTTTTAAGGGTATTATCTATACGTTTAGTGTTGTAACCCAAAAGTTTAGGTAGCAAGCGGTGAACTCGAGCGCCATCCTACTACTTGAACCTATGTATAAAATAAATTTATAAAAAAGTGGCTCACCATTCGCCACGGATTTTTTCATCTTCACTTGTGAGTCTTACGCGTGACTATTAAAAAATATATATATGGATACAATATATTTTTATGGGAACTTACCTACGTAGTTGTATAATATGTAATACCACAGTGGCATGGCGCAAACATCGAATAGCCGTCGTATTTTTGTAATCGATAAGCGGAGTAAAATATTAAGCCCAGACATTAGACATTATATTTGTTCAGCAAAAGAAAAAAAAATGAATAAAACTCCGAAATGTGGCAGGTTTATGCATACATAAAATTCCCGGAATGTATATTTTTATTAGCTACGAACTATGTATACAGGGTGATTCATCCATGCTGACGACCCTTTTTTATTTAATGATGCAAATATTTAAAATCTGATTTTTGGAATCCTTAAATATGCTTAATGACCTTCTTTTAAAATTCTCGAAATTTTTAGTTCTACTTCAGCAGTGTCATGTGGTGATGCAAACTTTTCAAATGAGAACACTTCCCCCTTTATTTTTACCGTAAATTATTTAGTAGATATATTTTTGAAAATTTTTATATACCCAAAATTGGGTACGATGATAAAATGCAAGTAGTTTTTCAGTTATTAAAATGTTTATATAATAGTCCTTAAAAGTTGTTTTAGAAAAACGTATAACAGATATCATTTTGGATCAAGTATTTATTATACTTCATAATGTTATCATAGTGCTGATAGATTAATATTAATTACCAAGATTTTTAAATCACCATAACCCCCGCATCTTCTAAACTCATTATAATTTATCACGGATAAAGTTAAATAACTCAAAAACTAACAGTTTCAATTTTGATTCTGATACTTCAACAATTTTAGAAAAACACGGTAAATTATATTCGATAGGGAGGATCCCATTTAAAAAATAGAAGTTTGAGTCACCACGGGACACTCTATTTGTTCACTAAAAAATAGTCTTTGAGTACACTTAAAAATTTTAAAACCATAATCTGAATAATTTCATTAATAAAGAAAATTGGAGGAGTATGGTTAGGTGAATCATTCTTTACATAGTTTAATCCGGTATTATTACAATAGAAATATCAGCACTTTAACATACTTAAAAGTTATAAAACTAATTGTCAACACAATATGTAGGCCGTGATCTATTTTTAAATGACGAAACTAATGAACTATGGTTGGTTAAGTTAAAAACCTCTTTATCTTTTTTTTGAACTTGACTTTTTAAGGGTGCCTACCTAGACAGCGTATATCGCCATGACACTATTTTTTTTCTTAATATTTTCTGAAGATATGACAACCCGATACTATATAAACACATAATATATTTTCGTATCGTTTGTTGTTGATAGAATTTTTTTATTTACACATTTTTAACACCGATCAGTTATTATCTCTGAGCGTCAAAAGTTGAATCAGGCGTCAAACATATCTTTTCGAAATCCGGGCGACATGTCGAAACGAGAGATTGTAAAAGCAGTTTCGTGATAAATTAAAATCGTCTCGACATAGACACCCTTAAAAACTCGAATGCAGATAGGAATTCTAATTGAATGGTTTTTTGCTCCACCTTCAACCACCAGAAATCTCTCTGTGCATCCCACACGTCAAATCCTCAACCCATTATCCACATGGATTTGTCATAGGAAATAGAATTTTGTGAAATGTTGTTTGAAAAATTGTCCGGTAAACGGTCGGTGTAGCTGCACCAAAATTAGATACAATAATTTTATTTTATTGTCGTGTCGTTTGATTTTTTTTTTTTTAAATCAGGCAGATGAATAAACCTATCCGCCATGTAGCTATAATACTGTATACAATACATTATTTATTATGGTGTAGACATTATAATGGACTGCAATGTATACACACGTGATGTTCTAACACGAGCGATGGTGCGGCAGAGCACTTGTCGAATCTGCGGCACGTCAGATTAACACTACAACAGCGTCGTTCACTTCCGGCGGGCTGCAGCTCGTCCTGTATCCCAATATATTTAACACATAAAAATAATACCCGATATAATATAATAATACCATACAATGTTAATGACGCCGACACGGAATTGCACTCAGCCGTTGCCAAAGTAGTTAATAGTGATAATTTTTTCGTCGCACGCCCCTTACAGCAACAGCCACGCCACAGCTATTGTCGGCAGTGCGCCCGTGACATTCGTAATTGTTTCATTGCGGATGCCACGTGATCTTTCACACGTACACACGTCGATGATAAAAAATGTAAATATTGGGTCGAGGTTTTTTTCTGACCACTGTACACGTGGTCGTCGGAATTTCGGGTTATAAAATTGGCGGGCACAACATAACATTAAAATTGTTTATACGATCCCCACGCATTTTGTGAAAAACACTGCGTTTCGAATACCTAACTCGTACAAAGCAAATACCTTCCATGGTCTATGGTATGTTATCTATGCGAATGTTTAAGTCACATTTCGTGAGTAAAATTAATTTTTTTTCTTAATTATTCCGGTTTGCGTTGTTGTTTAATGTTTTCGGGGACCCCGTGAAATCGGGTGAAGCATAAAAATATACAGGAAGCACCTACCTTTCGAAATTGTTCGCATCGTCAAAAGTTTTTTTCGATAAAAACGGCGAGTTTAAAGTCGTCCATTTTTATTGCTATTATTATTTTCCTCGTCTCCGTCAATTTTCGATCGCGTTGCGCCTGGGTGGTTCCAAACACAATCGATGAGCTCTCCTCTCCATCGACGTCAAAACACGAATATATTTATACAACTATCACATTATATTTTTCTTCGGTAAATAATAAATATTTAGAGAAATAAGTACAAGAACCGGGATGAAATAAATTATTTCGTTCAAGTTGTCATAAAAACGTATTCTTTCTTCACTCGTTATAGTTATATTATAGTAGCGATGCTGCACATGATAATAATAATAGGTAATACTACTACTTTTAATAATAATAATTGTAGTATACTGCTATTATTTATGCCACTTGGCACTCATTTTGATACTCGTATATTGTAACTCGATCGTATAATAATAAAAATTTATTTCAATAACAATAATATTGGATAAACAACAAAGAAAGAAATACGTTTTATACTATTTTTATACATCACAATTTTAGAAAAAAAAATTCTTTAGTCAAAATACTATATGTTACAAATATGATGATGTTTAGTTTAATGTACTCGTATAAACGTGAAAACACTTAGGAAAACAAAAAATAAATAAATGAAAAAACATCCAAAAACAATTTATTCACGTTCACTGTGAATACAGTATTATATAATATATATGTCACGTTCTCGAGCGCGTGAACTTTTCAATGTTTGAATAAGAATATACATGCATTTTAAATGTTAAGTTTTTTTCGTCAACTAAATTATTATAAAATTACTATACGATACATATACACCGCGATAATGCTTTCATAAAATTTGTCATGGTCAAAACGCATAAATAAACTTTGGTCTTAAATTACAACAAAATAATAATAATAATAATAATAATAATAATAATAATGATAATTATAGAAATAATAAATAAATAAATGAAGTGTGTTTTCCATGTGAAAAAAAAACAATAAGTCAAAAAGAAATTGTAAAAAATAATCATAATGATAATAATAATAATAATAATAATAATAATAATAATAATAATAATAATATATATAATAACGTTATAGATATGAGAAAGTCTAACATAATAAGAATGATATCGTTGTATGATATGATGTCGGCGGGACCCAAGAATCGATCAGCTTCTTGACGGGTCCCGGTGATATCGCTGTTGCCACCGAAGCGGATTGTCATTCGGTCACCGATTTTTTGCCACCGATCACTCTCGGGTAAAGCTGAAAAACGAAAAAACAACAAACGCCCGTCCATTACACCGCATAATATACAGTTTCGCTGCGTGTAATAGCAGTCCCATCAGTTACCGCGTACACGAGAAATGCTTTAAATTCAATTCCGTACATACATAATGCATGCGCACACGTCACTGTTAGATTAACGGCAGGGGGGAGGGGTACAAATGGGACATTACCTCTACCTACTAAACACACCCCCCATCCACCCCCACCACCACCACAATCATAACATTGCTTCTTATTGCTTACTATAATTTCACTATACTGATTTGGAAATGCTATTGAGTTCGGAGTTAAGAGCAGTTTAAGGAATCGTAAAGAACTGGATAATACTATGTAAACGGTTAAGTTTATCATGAAATTAGATAAGCAGACTTCTTCACCTGCTAGTGATAAATCCTAGAAATATAATAACATAACGTCATAACCTGTAATAGAGTTGTGTGCAGGCCTTTGCCCTCCACCCACCATAAGATCTAGCTCCGGAGCTACCGCTAACACACACACACACACACACACACACACACACACACACACACACATTTATACGTGCACGCACGGATTAACCTACTACACTCAGTTGCATGCCCACGATTATTATTATGTATACGTGTGGGACGTGGTTGGATTCGGCGGTGCGAAAGAAATGTTCGTTGCAGACTATATTAAGGGAGTCCGTTTCGTAATACGTTACTAACCACGAGCTTATTTTATAACCTAACAATATTATTTAAAATACATAATAATATATACCTAGGCAATAATTGATATGTAGGTTAATGACACGACTGAAAAGGGAAACGTATACATTTTTTTAAACCTATTTTCCTCAAAAATGTATTATGGAGTTGAAAAATTACGTTAATCTACATTTTATATTTTTATCGAATAGTGAACAAATATTATTAAATATTTATTTATCTTTTTTCAGTAAGAATATAAATTTAAAATCAAACCTTATCCCTAGTACATAGCGCATAGTATATCTATGATAAGATACAGCCAGAAAAATAATTGCAAATTCCACTTTTAAGACTAAAAATTATTGGACGGGGTCCACAACACAATCATGGCACTCTGGTGGTAAAATTATTTCCATTTTGTACTCGATTATTACACTTAGTTTAAAAAGAAACGAATTTTTTTTATTTATTTCTTAAAGAAAATCTATTAGTGGAGCACGTGGTTTGTATTTTAATGTGCCTATTATAATATAATTAACAACGTGCTATCTCCATACACATATACAATAGGTACAGCGACTGAAATTGTACTTTATTAAATTGATTTGGCCCGAATAAATTGGTTTTTAATTCACCTCCATGTAATTCATTCATCACGATCGAAAAAAATCGGTAATTTTATAACAATCTGGTTTACATAAAATACAGATGATATGCAACGGTATCTTAGAAGGTTAGAATCGAATCAGCTGTATTCACTTGGTATGTTTTAGTGGGAAGCTTTAAAATACATTATGTATATATATTATAATAACGTCAAACGGCAAAAATGTCGCATGCAACAATAATCATTAAAATATTTTAATTAAAATTAATAAACCAATTAAAATATTATGATATTGATTCAACGATTGCGCTGAGTCGGTGAGATTCCAACGCGTGTTTCGATACACCCTCCCCACAGACCACAGTAATGAAGGTTGATTGAGATCCGAACCGACACAGCATTTTTTTATGTGTTTCATATCATAGTTGTTTTTTTATTCATTCAGATAACATTAATCTGTATATTGCAGATATCGATTTGGTATTGAAATGTCGATGATAAAAGTTAACAATACGTCTAGCAGTCAGGCATAATTTTATTCATTTATCTTTTCATACAATTAATATGAACTAAATAGTTTTTTTTATTTACTTCGAAATAGAAATCAACGGACATATTTGATTTGTGCACAAACGTATGCATGCATAATATATTATGTAGGTAGCGTACTATATTTTCTCGGCTTCAGAACACATGACACAATGACATGACGCTTTTGACTAGACGTTAGTACATTAATACAATAACGATGTATAATTGAACGGACAATAAATACGCATACAAATATAGATAAAATTCAGCAGGTTACAGTACATGTGGAATTAGTAAAAAACGTTTCAGCGCAAAACTAGTTATTTCTCGTAGAACCATATCACCAATCGTCGTACATGACTTCATACTGTTATATACGTACACAATTAAAAACATTATGATATATATATATATATGTATAAATTTACTATAAGGAATCGTTTTTCTGTTAATCCGTATATTTCAGACATATTTTAGAGTGCGTGTGCATGTTAAAAAGAAGAAAAACTCACCCCTAGCAAATTTCGCGGCACGTATCCTTCGCGGTCGTCAATCCTCGACCACCACCATTCTCGTTCGGTGTCGTCGCCCTTCCGTAGTACGACGATCCTGTCGCCGTCGTCGAAAGTCAACTCGTCCTGGTTGTGCGCCTCGTAACCGAAAACCGCGTACACCGCACCATTGTTCATTATGCCTAACTTCTCTTGAACGCCTGTAGACATCGTTTCACAATATTGAGTATACACGATGTACATTTTGATAAACGTCTTATAAATATGGATTCCATAATATATTTAACATGGGTATGTATAGTATTTATTAAGTTACTGGGGGTTTTGGAAGACGCACTATTAAAATTAATACAATACAATATGCATACTTTTGTTTTTAATAAACGATATCAATACTATTTATTATAAACGGTAAATTTTATAATTTTGAAGTGTTTATATTGGTGGTAATTAGTATGATCCTTTATATAGTTATATATATAATATTATATACATGCATAACATAATAAGTATATTAAATAAAAATCTTTTTGTATTCGGATAAAATATCTCAGTTATTCTCAAGGCGTACGCAGAATTGCGTCATGATGTTAATAATAGGTTTTTTGTTTGTTGGGTGGGGGGGTGTTACAATAAAGCGAAGTAATTAAAAATTAAAACAAAGACATTATTCAACTCACTGTAAAGAAACTCTGAACATCCGTCAAAACCCTCTTCGTCCTCCTCGCACTTTTCGGCGGCCGTCTCCTGGTCTGACAACGTGGTGGCGAATATGCACGCCCCGTGCTCTACCAGGAATCGGACCATGGCGAGGTTGTTACAGCTGGCGGCACAGTGTAACGGCGTCCTGTGGGCATCAGACAAATTAAGCATTCGTTAATGAATATGAATTATGATTTCCCTTAGACATCAGTCTATACACGTCTTGAATATAGTATCACGCCCGCAGGGACCCGTGTAATAATAATTAAATACTTAGCTACATATATTCGAAGACAGGTCACTGAAGTACCTACGACGACGCGCAACTCGACGTGCAACGCGCGGACGCAACTCGTCATGACGTAATATTATATTATAATTATTGTCAACTGCAGTATTGCAAGTGCAGCGTGCATAAAGTGTCGTATTATAGCAACCAGCGAGCGTGAAAACAGACTTCATAAAATACTGTGTATATAAATATGATTTGTCGCACGAATGCATACAACTTTCAAGTTTATGAAATAGTGTTTTATGCGGAGTTTGAATTATTTTTTCGTTATAAATAAGGAATTCAATTTTGTAATAAAATTCTTGGTGGAAACACTTATATATTAGCTGGTATACGACGATGGAGTTTTGTATAAACCTACGGCGTAGTGACTATACACACTACAAAGACTTGCGAGACTTATCGATTTTTAACGGTTCGACTAAAAGAACTGCACGACGAGTTTTAATAACTTAATTATAAAGTATATATATATATATTCACAGCTTATTGTGTTCGTTAATAGGTTTAATATAAGTCGTTATACCTATGTACGCGTGTTATGTAACTTTAATCCAACAAATGCGCGCTCGGTACAATAATATAATAATAATCCAATAATACATAGGTTTAGCACGTAATTTAATCATTTAATTACTATTAATACTTAATATACTATATTATTATATATGAATGGCTGGGGAAATATCAATTTTGTATTTGCAGAACAGCTAGAAGGAGAATTATTTTTTCATCGTGCTAATGGACACAGATTAATTAAAAATGATTAAGTAGAAAGATTATTACGCACGTTGCAAAATATTACTTTAGATTTATTAATTATAAAATAATATCTGCAGATGGGAACATTTCAATTTTTGTTAACTTGATTTTTCATTAACTAGCAATGTCAATAAATTATTATAATAGAAAAAACGCATAAATATGTAAATATAAAATGAGTTGCTCGAACAATGCAAATATTAACGACAAGCCGTCATCAGAACTTCCAATAAGTAAACAATATAATATTGATATTTTCGCTAGGCACACAAACCTTATAAACATGACTCAAATTAAAAATATATTTCGTTACAAAAAAAAAACAATTTTAGCTAGAAACATTTTATTTTTTATATACTATTAAACATTATGTTACAACCCCTTTGAGCATTTCTTAGAATTTCTGTATGAATTGTTTCCTTTAGAACTTCAAGGTCCTTGGACGATGTTTATAAATACCAGATTTTTCATAACGCACAGAAAAAACACACAAGACTGAGTATAGAACGCGCGAAGGGCGGCGGGTATGTAGACACGTTTTTAAGAAAATGGGCTTCCACGGAAAAAGTGACATGCGGGTTTACCCTCAACATGTTTACAGGTAAAAACTGTCGTAATATGAACCTTTAACTATTCTTCGACCATCCGCCCACATGAGCAGACACGATCGCCACCATTCTACGACCTTTTATAATAGTACAAAACCATTCTGAACTATAAGGAGGGCGTATTACGACGTACGTTCAGAAGTTGATTTATTTTTTCCATTTATTGTTATTAATTTTTTTTCAACTTTTATTTAATAAAAATAATTTTTACAATAGTTTAGCTTAATGGCTCTCAAATATATTGGACTCAGCCATTTGCTATTTCAGTGATGTTTGGTATCTGCTGGTAAGCATTAGGTATTTTGACATGCTAGTTAGTAATTAATATTTGGTAATTATTAATTGCTCTTAATGATGTGTATACAGTTAGAACGAAGCACACTTTTTAAAATGTAGGGTTGTGATACAACAATTAATGATAAAAAAGTGAATTAGAACCAACAAAATTAAATTCCATTTAGATAATTAAATAACTATCAATGTATTATATATATACTCACGAGTTACGTGACACTTATGGTATTACTATAGTGATATCATTAGTAAAAGATTGTTAATATTTATGAAAATAATGAAATTGTATGTTTTCCAGTGGGATGGCAAGTAGGTATGATTTCCCCAGTATTATAGGAAGTGAGAATTCAAATTCGTACTTCCAAGCATAACAGACGAAGTTAACATTATGATAATAATTTTGTACTCACCATCCATCGGAGTCTTGAGCATTTACATCACAGCCAAACTTAACTAAGAACTTAACAATGTCTATATGGCCGGCACATATGGCATTGTGTAGCGCAGTTATTCCTTCGTCATTAGCCGCGCTCGGATCTCCCACCTAAAACACATGACATACGGTGACGTTAATAAACAATTTACCTACATAATAAAAAGTTGTCTTTCAGAGAGTAATTCAGAGTACATATTATTACTGTTATATAAATATATATACACAAATGAATGGTCTATTATACCCTACTCCCCGTCCACATCCTCTTAACCATCGGTCACGATTTTAAGTCCGAAATTCATATAATATCTCGGAAATAAAAAAAGACGAATATGAAACCCCTTCACGGCCGAGTCACACATATATATTATATAGTAGTAATAATAATAATAATAATTTGCAAGCACACTCACTTGTTCAGCGGTTCGCATAACCAGCTCTAGTTCACCCTCCAACGAGGCGTCCAACAGCAACGCGAGCGGATCGAACGATACACGTCGCTTGTGACCGATGCTACCGCCCGACTCCTTGAGGTTGCCTTTTTTCCGCACCACCAACCTGTTTCTGCATTCCACTGCAAACACACACGAAATATTACTTAAAGTGTAATGACTAATGACGCATAAATGCAAAATGATATTCAATATATCACAAATCGATAAGCCACAAAAATACGTAATCGGAGGACATTATTTTGACCATATTATATGTAACTCTATTTATCGACTATATATTATTATTTTGCGATAAAATATTAATAAAGAACTTACAGTTCTATCGTCCTTAGAATTTATCGATGTAATATCAGGTAAAATCGTATAAATTTGCACTGAATGCAACGATACAATTTATATCCAATATAGTTGAAAGATGTATTGAGAAGTTAACTCTCAACTGGCATATTATCTTATAAAATCGGTGGATTAACGAAATTAATTAACGAGTAACGACTATGTAAATGATTAGAAGTCTTCAAATTAGTGCTATAATATACAGTATCAACTACCGACCACAGGATACGTTACGATATCAATGTCTACACTAACGAACCTTTGGCGAATTGGAAATCTATACCTAATACAATATATTGATATATTATTTATTTATTTATTTATTTATTTATTTATTTATGTTGTATATCAACGGGTATATACCCTTTTACAAATTATATAAAGAAAACATATCAGATAAAAACTAAATAAGTGTAGTAAAACCTAACAAAAACAGATAAAATAATATAAAAATAACTCTGAAATAAAAGTAATAATTAATATATAAAATTATAGTTACATTATAAACATTTTTTTTTTTTTTTTTTTTTT